TCACACACACAGCCCTGCACTCACACACAGCCCTGCACTCACACACACAGCCCTGCACTCACACACACACACACAGCCCTGCACTCACACACACAGCCCTGCACTCACACACTGCCCACTGTGGGCTCCCTGTGTCGTGCCCTCCTCTGGCACAGCAGTGCAACCCCTCCTACCTGGAGCTCGGGGGGGCCGCCTTCATCACGAATCAGCAGCAGGTAGCTCTGTCCATCCACCACGATCTCCTTCTTAAATCGCCCACCTGGGGGACGGAGCACAGCGGTGAGAAGGGCAGAGCGCACAGTGGGGTCCTGAGACAGCAGGGGGGCAAAGGGAGAGATGGGGCTGCCTTTGGGGTGGGGGGAGCCAGGGCCCCGAGTGCTGCAGCAGCTGAACCTCACCCTCTGGAGACTCCTCCTGCACGTAGGTGCCGGTCAGGTAGCGGTGCACCAGGGCCGACTTGCCGCTGGACAGGTTCCCCACGATGCCCTGGGAGAGAGACGTGTGTCAGCAGCTGCCATGCAGCACAACACGAGGTGACCCCAGCCTGGTGCTGCAGCCCCCACCCCCCTCCCCACACCGCAATCAACTGGCAATGGAAGGGAGCTCATCTCCCAGCCCACGCGTCCCAATCTATAAGCACTGGAGCTCTTGGAACAGAAGAATGAGGGCAGAGCTCAGCCGAGGTCCGGGCACAGCTGCTAGAGGAGCTCCTGGCAGCTCGGGGTGTTTGGTGATGCCTGCGCTGACTCTGGGATGGCAGCACGAGGGGCAGAGTTGTGCACATCTGTGACAGCTCGGGCTGCTGACTCCAAGACCCGCCTGCCTGCAGGGCAATGGGGGGAGAAACGGACCTGTGAGCCATGGGGATGGCCGACATCAGGGCGGATGGCTCAGGAGCAAAAATCCAGAGCCCAGGGAGGCACCGCAGTGCCAGAGCAGCAGCTCTGTGGGCAGACAGCTTCCCTTCATGGAATCACAGAATCATTCAGGTTGGAGAAGACCTCTGAGATTCCCAACCCCAGCCCACCCCCACCCGTCCACATCTGCATGGTCCAACCTCCAGCAATGGTGACCCCCAGCCCTGTGCAGCTGTGCCAGTGCCCAGCTGCTCTTTGGAGAATTGCTCCTAAAACCCAACCTGCACCTCCTGTGGCACGACGTGCAGCCACCCCTCCCATCCTATCACTGTGATGCTTTCCTTCCCTTCAGGACAAGCCTGCAAAGCGTCCCCCCACCACCACAGACTGCAGGACAGGCAGAAAGGGGCACAGCTCAGCACCAGGCTGAGTGCCTTCATGCTTTGGGAAGCAGCACAGCGGCCGGATGGAACCCCAGGGGTGATGGAAAACAAGGCAAAAGGCCGTGCTGCTTTGGGGAGAGCTGAAGGCTTCAGGTTTGTTCAGCCTGCAGCACAGCACGCTGTGAACACGTCAGGAAGCAACACACAGCATAGCTGCAGGAGCATCTTTGGACAGACACATGTTTTACAAGGGAAACTAACAAGTGAATATTCAAAGTTTGCTTTCATTAATACTTAACTACAGATAAGAAAAACCGTGGCAGCACTGTGCTTGTGTGACTTGCCAAAGCACCTCTTGCTTTTCAGAGTAAGACTAAAAAGCATTAATCTTAAAAGGGCTGAAAGGAGACGTGCCAGCAGCTCTCAAAGGGGGTTACACTGAAGGCTGCTGTCGAGCACGAGAGTGAAGTGCTGAGCAGACTGCAGAGGTCCTGGGAACAGCTGGGAGCACGTGGTGCTCTGCAAGAGCTGACCTTGATCCCGCACACAGCCATCCTGTGCCTCCCCCTGCCCCAGGCACTGCTCTGGGCCATGGTGCCCAACAGCCAGCTCAGCCCAAGCAGCCACCACCCATCCCCCAGCACTGGTGACACTGGCAGCTCATAGGATCCAGCATGGAACGTGGAGGAAACATCTCTGGCCTTGGAGGGGCTGCACCCTGAGAGCATATCCGTGCTGCAGATGACCCACAGGAACATGGGGTGAGGTGGGCATGGGGGGACTCCACTGCCAGAGCCTGTGCCCCTCCCTGGTGTCTGCCCTGCAGGCAGGCAGTGACAGCACTGCAGGACACGCTGCAAGCCAACAGCTGGATGCTCTGAACACAGAGCACAGTGCTGGAGGTGAGGTCTCACCCCCAGCACCCTTAGGGCAGGGACACTGCAGGATGGCCACAGGGACGTGGGAGCACCAGAGAGGTGCTCAGCTCTGCTCCCATGTGCTCTCCCACACCAGCACCCACTCCTGCACAGTGTGACCCCCCAGGGAAACCCCCCCAGCACAGCAGCAGCCCCAGCCCCTCTGCACTCCATGGGGCTGAAGCCCTGTGTGCGCTCACTGCGCCGCAGGACGCGGGGCTGTTTGGGGACGTGCAGAAGCACTGGAGGACTGACGTGAATACTCACCACCTTCAGCTCAGGCACCGAGCGGCTCAGGGTCCATTCCTGGCTGTTCACAAAGGAATCTGCAGAGCAGAGAGAAGAAGGGATCAGGACAGGAGCCTCACCCTGTGCCACGCTCCCACCCTCCTGCCCAGCCCTGGGGCAGCACAGCCACCAGCCCCACTGCACACACGGAGCTGCAAACGTGCCGCAAGCTGCAGTGCCTGCTGCACAGAACTGAGTCCCACCAGTCCATCGGTGCTTCTCCCAGGCACCGCTCCTCCCATAGCTTCTGTCCTGTTGGATAACCACAACAGAAGGAGCACCACCACCACTTTCTTTTTCACCACGTCCCCTCCATCCCATGCAGATGAAGGAAGCATGCCCTGCACTGCTCCACTACACGAAGAGCTTCCTCAAACTGTGGCAAAACCGGTGAAAGTGGTGAGGTTTTGCAGGGGCTGTGACTGCAGCACAGGTGAGACGTGCTGAGCTGGCTGCCATGCAATAGAGCTGGGGGGGGGAAGGCTGCTCAGACAGAGAGCAAAGCTCATCCATGCTGACAGCCCACCCTGCTGTGTTGACACCCCACTGTAAACAGGCTCAGGAGTTTGTCAGCAACAGATTTTTAGTGCGTTGTGCTGAGATCCAGCCTGCACCCCTCCTCGTGCCCATCAGCACCCACGGGGTGAGCTCTGCAGCTTGCCCCAGCCCTGCAGGCAGCCATCAGCCCCAGCACCCACACCAATGCCTGCAGCCCCAGCAGCCTGCACGCCTCCTGAGCTGCCTCCGCTTTGTTTACTGCACACACTTGTGCCTTTTCCTAAAACCACATCAAATTTCCCTCCTGTACCACTCTCTAGTGATGAGTTTCAGGAGTGCAAACGCTGCCTTAAATCCCAGCTCCTGCAGCCTCCACGCAGAGCTCAGGGGCTTTCACTGCGCCCTGCAAGCTGCAGAGCCTCAGCACCAGGAGGTGTCAGCACCAGGAGCCCACTGCATGGTGAGCCCCGGAAACTCCAGAGCTCCCTGCAGGGCACAGCAGGCAGCTCAGCTTCAGCTGGCAAAAGGAGAACAGATGCCTCCATCCACACACCATGGATGTGCACCAGCAGCACGAGGCCCTCATTTTCCCCTGCCATTCACTCCCCGTCAGCACGGGGAGCTCCATGCAAGGGGTGCACAAGGCCCGCCACCTCCTGCTTTGGGTGGGCACTGCCAGGCGCATTTGGTCTCCAAGACACAAATAATAATTAACCAACGCATCGCCCGAGCCGCTGCGGCACAACTCGGACGCTCGGACGTTCCCACCAGCCCTGCACCAGGTCAGAGGCCGAACAAACAGCCCGGTAGACCACGTTCCAAAGTCCCCAGCTGACAGCAGGGCACGGGGCCGTGTGCCCACCGCAGCCACCCCTTTGGTGTGGGGGGGGAGGGCTGAGCCCCGCAGCACAGCACGGAGGTTTCTGCAGCTCGGGAACCAAGGTGAGCAGTGCTGGCAGCCATCAGAGCACCCAGAGCTGCATCCTCTGCAGGGCTCAGCTCAGCACTGAGAGGACGGGAGCCGAGGCTCCTGGCAGCACGGTGTGAGCGCTGACTCCCACCCTCACAGCTCAGCACTCAGCAGCAGTGGGGCTGCCTGCCCTGCTTTCACACTGTGAGCACCGGCCCCAGTCTGGGCAGCGTCCCACCTGCAGACCGAAGGACACCCGGCTCTGCCTGCCCACAGCAGCAGCCCTGCAGGCTGCGCCCAGGAGCACAAAGCTGCTGCCTCCCAGCGCCCCGCCAGGCGCTCACCTCACCTGCAAAACCTGCTCCGGGTGGGTCAGACTCAGCTCCAGCTGAGGGCAGGGCAGGCCTGCAAAGCGCTCCCTTCCTACAGACTGCAGTTGTGAGCACCCCGCTCCGTGCCCGCCACGTGCATCCCCTCCGGATGAGCACCCAGACCCCCCGGTGCCAGCTGCAGCTCTGAGCTCTCAGAAGCACGGGCTCCTGCTGGGCGCAGCGCTGGAGGCACAGCCCGGCCCCAGCCCCGCTCCCCCAGGGATCCCAGGCAGGTGCTGACACGAGGTGATGCCTATCACTGCTCCGCTCACTATGCAAACTTCCCTTGAATATACAAGCACCATCCTCCTCTCCCGGCAGCCTTCCCTCACCTGCCCCACACATTCCTCTGTGTGGCTGTGCACCCAGCAGGACAGCAGGGCGTCACCTCCGACCTCGAGGCACCTTGGAAGAAGCAGAGCCTTTCTGGAAGGCGAGCAGGGGAATCCTCAGCCCGTCTTCCCGTCTTTGCAGGCTGTGTCTGCCAGGATGCACGTGGACACACAGCTCCCAGCCCTCACCCTGGTTCTGCGCACTGGCCCAGCAGGCTGCACGCTGGCTGACACAGAATCAGCTCCTGTCCCTGCTGGGCGCAGTCCCTGCCAGCCTCCACGGTGCCACACGCAGACGAGCTCCAAGCTGTTTTTCAGGTATCAAATCCTGCATTCCCCTCCCTGTGCCCGGACCAGGCCAAAGCCCCACACCAGCAGGTGCAAGCATGGTGCAGAGATCTGAGCGGGTGATGTGGGACAGCGCCGTTCTCCCTTCGGGTGGCCTTTGGGGTGCTCACAGTGTGTGCTGTGCTGGATGGGCCTCTGCTGAAACCAAAATGCTCCTGGGACTGGAGAAGCTGCACTGGTTGGAGCTCTGCCTGCAGTACCCAACCTCTCCAAGGAGCTGATAACCACAGCTGCAGCTGCACCCCCAGGAGGGCACGTTGGGGTGGCTGAGCAGCTCTCCTAGGGCTGAGGTGGGCAGCACAGCACACAGCAATCAAGGTCTGGAAGTGCTGAGCACGCGTTAGGAGCAGCACCAGCCTGCAGAAGGACAGGGCAGAGATCCCTGAGCTGCACACCCAGCAGCCCGAGCAGGAGCAGGGCTGCAGTGCTCCACGTCCGACAGCTCTCAAGCCAGGGCCCACAGAAAGAGCTCAGTGTGGAGATGGGACACGTCCAGCAGGACAAGGACATCAGCTCCGCCGGCAGCCCCGCTGCTCTGCAGCCTCACTGACCCAGGAGCACGTCCTGAGCAGACAAAGCAGGCAGCAAACAGCAAAGCAGGTACTCTGAGCAAACGCCAAACCCAAACACAACCTGTGCAGCCCCACAGCAAGTGGAGGTCTCACAGCCAGCCCACACTGCAGCGCTGAGGCAGCACGGTGCCTGCCCGGCGAGGGCACTGACATGGGCACACAACCCCAGCTGCAGCCCTGGGAACGTGGCAGTCGGGCTGGCGGCTGCGGGCGCAGCTCCTGCCGGGAGTCACCAGCAAGCAGCAACAGATCCCTGCTGCACCTCCCAGCCCGGGTACACCCACATTCCGCAGCCATGAGTGCGGCCTCCGCTCGCCTGGGAACCTCCTGCCGTGCAGGGAGTGTGAGGCTGGGGGCACCGATGCAGGGAGCACCGATGCAGGAGCACAGCCCTGTCAGCCCGCAGCGCACCGAGGCCATGGGGACAGCCCAGGACCCGCACCTGGAAGGCACCGCGAGCCCCAGGGACCGCGGGACGAGCGCGCGGAGCTCCCCAGGCTGCAGCAGGGCTGTTCCCATGCTGAATCCGACCCTGCTGGAGAGCACCTGGGCGCAGAGCTGCCCTGGAGCCGCTGCCACACCGTCAGCACCAGGGACCCAACGACGGAGCCCTGCGCAGCCCACGGGTGCCTGGAAGCGCTGCCCGCAGCCCAACCCCCACCGCTGCTCCATCCGCAGCGTTCAATGCCTTAAAAAGCCCACGGGCGCCGCGCGCTCCTCCCAGCTCCGCGCCCGCCGCTGTGGGGCCGCGCGGGGGAACGGAACGGGGAACAGCACTGGGAAACGGGGCCAGGGAACGAGCGTGGGGAGGGAGCGCGGGCAGCGCAGCTCCGCGGAGCCTCTGCCGACCCGGGCAGCCCCAGCACCGGGAGCGCAGCCCACGGCAGCGCGGCCCGCACAGCTCCATCGGAGCATCAGCTCCCGAGCGCGCCACGTGCCCGTGCCCCATCGCGGGCCCCGGCCCACCGCCTGCGCCCACCGCACCCCAAAGACCGCCCCGCGCCCCAGACGCAGCCGCCAGGGACCCCACGCGGCGCTCCTCAGCTCTCGCGTCCTTCAGCCCCGTCCGGGAGCGATGCCCCTCCGCCCTCCCACGAGCGGGACGCGTTCCGGTTCCCCGCGCCGCCCCGACAGCCCCGCACGAGGCTTTCCTCCCCCCGGCCCGCCGGCTCCGAGCCGCCTCCCCCGGGCACCGCACACGGGGGCTCCTCGGGTCGCCCCCCCCCCGTGCGGGGCGGCGGACGCGGCGACGGCGGCAGCCCCGACGGCGCCCCGCGATGCCGAACGGCGCCCGACCGGACGCGGCGCTCCGCCGCACTCACCCAGCGCTCGCAGGGGGCCGCCGCCCAGCAGGACGGGGTCGTTGCCGCCGCGGGGCTCCTTGGGGCCGGCGCCGCGCTCCCGCCGTCGGAAGCGGCTGGTGAGCAGCTTCCAGAGCCCGCCGGGCGGCCCGGGCTCGGCCCGCAGCGCGGCGTGTCCCAGCTCCGGGTACAGCAGGTCCCGCTTGCTGGGACAGGCGTGCAGCGATCCGGCGTCGCCCTCGCTTTTGGTGCGGAGGCGCGCGGGGCGCAGCCCGCCCGACTCGGAGCGCCGCAGCTCGTGGCCCCGGCGCAGGCGGAAGCTGAAGCTCTTGCGGAGGGCGCTCAGGTGCCGCCGCGGGCCGGGACCTCCGCGGCCGAAGAGGTTCCAGCGGCGGCTGCCCCAGAGGGACCCTCCGCGGGGGAAGCCGGGGCTGTCGGCGGGCAGCGGGCGGGCGGCGGGCGGGAAGGACGCGCTGCCGGGCCGCGCTCGCTGCGCCCCGCCGCCGCCGCCGGGCGCCCCGCAGTCCCCCTCGTCGCGGCGGCGCGGTCGGAAGAAGTCCAGCAGGCCGCCCCGGGAGCGCGGCGCGGAGCCCAGCAGCGCCCCGACGCCCGGCCCGCCGCCCGGCGCGCAGAAGCTCTTGGGCCGGCGCCGCTGCTGCTGGGCGGCCCCGAGCGCGGCGCGGACGGCGGGGACGCCCTGCAGGTCCAGCGATTCGCACACGCTGACGGCGC